TTTATTTAAAGATTTATTTATTTATGCTTACAGAACTGGGGTACAGGCCAGAGGTGCAGGGGTGAGAGGATTCACCAGAGACAGAGTGGGGAGCGGAACAGGCCGACTAAGTACACTGCTGAGGGGAGCAGCGGGTGGGTCAGGGGGAGGCCTGTTGTGCCTTGTGGGTCACCTCGGGGGCGGGGATCGAACTCGTGCTGCTGCGGCTTGGGAGAGCTTCATAATGCAGTGCTTTAACCCACTGCGCCAGCAGGGAGAGCCCATACCTCAGTATTTTAAACGTTACTGGAACTTAGATTTATTGACTTTGAGGGAACAAAAATGTATTAAGTACAAAAGGAAGGGACTCGGGCTGGCCCCGGCCCTTCACCGTTAGCACCGTGTGCTCCGCAGTCTGTAAGCTCGGCGTTGACCACCCACGGCGTGCGCCAAGGTCCCATTGTGTTCTCTGGGCCTCTTGCTTGGCCGAAACCGGCGTGCCCCTGAGCCACTGAGTCTGACAGGGCTGCCACCGTCTTAGGCGAAGGTGTTCCCGTGCCAGTGGGCCTGGAGTCCCATTCGCTGCTCTTCTGGATCCACGTTTGTACTTTTATACCATTCTTGCTGACGCCTTCGACGCTCATGTCTCAGGCTGTCTCGCTCACTTCTTCCTGTTGGTGTTATTGACTGACCAGCTTCTCCTTTCACCCTCCTGCCCGAACCCCAACTACCCCAACCCCTGCCAATTCCTTGGAGATTTGGATTTAAAATCTTCCTCCTGGGCCCTCCCTGGCGGCACAGCGGGTTGAAGCACAGCGCCAGGAGGCTGCTAGCCGCAGCAGCTTCAGCTGGAGCTCAACCCCGGCCGGCCGGGAGCCCGCCCTTGAAATGCAGCCAGCTTTCACTCAGCTGTTGAGGGTGCAAGACCCCGCCATCTTGGCGTCTTCCTTCCGGTCACTACGGACCTCTCTGCCAGCCCCCCTTGTTACTCTGCTTCTTCACCTGACTCTTTTTTAAAGATTTATTTATTTGTGCATACAGAGCTGGGGTACTGGCCAGAGGTTCAGGGGCGGCGAGAGGCTTCACCAGAGACAGAGCGGGGAGCAGAACAGGCAGATCGAGGAAGCACACTGCTGAGGGGAGCAGCGGGCGGGCCAGGAGAGGTCTGCCGCGCCCTGTGGGTCACCTCCGGGGGCAGGCGGGGATCGAACTCATGCGGAAGCGGCTTGATCTTCTCAGTGCTGCGCTTTAACCCGCTGCGCCACCAGGGAGGGCCCTTCACCTGACTCTGAATAGGTTTTCCTGCCTCTGGCCTCGTCACCCTTCTCCGCCCCCAGGCCCTGCCCCAAGCCCTGCCTCAGGGCTCCTTGGTTCACAGGATGGCACACACGGCCCCCACGCCAGCCCCCCGCCCCCGGGCCAGGGAGGCTTTCTGTCCCCGTCACAACCTGCTGTCCTCGGGTGCGGGCACCCGGGCCGCCGCCCGCCCGTCTGTAGACCCCGGGTGTCTTGGTGCGCTGAGACGCACCTCCGGGGCCAGCACCCCGTAAAGGCTTCTGCGCTCTCAGCGCTGCCCAAGAGCCCCGCGGCCTCGGCCTTCGCACCAACACGGCCCCAGCTCTGGCTGCGCCTCTCTGCACCTCTGAGCTGTAAGCGCGGTGAGGGCGGCGGCGCCCCACTTCATACCCGCGCGCCCAGCCCCTGGCCTGAGAAACGCCGCGCACGCTGCTCCTTAAGCCGTGTCTGTGCGCGCCGCCCTCACCCGTGTTCTTTCTCCGGCAGCTCTTTGATGTGGATGAGGATGGCTACATCTCCGAGGAAGAGTTTTCCACCATCCTGCAAGCTTCGCTGGGAGTGCCTGACCTTGACGTCTCCGGGCTCTTCAAGGAAATAACTCAGGGGGATTCGGTTTCCTACGGTGAGTGAGTCGGCGCCGCCAACATGGGTTTGCGGGGGGACGATGGGGGGCTCGCGCAGTGGCATCTCCTGACACTCCTCATGTGGGCAGGAAAATAGAGGCGGTGGTGGTGATAGTAATGATGTTACAGGGCAGTGAGGGGCACTCCAGGACCCCCAAACCTGCCACTCTAAATAGGTCTGCCACCCGCCGCATCACCTTAATACAATGAGTGTGCGATACAGAAGAGATAAAGAATATACTTTCTAAATCAAACCAGAGCCCCTCAACCCCTCGTGGGCAAAGGTCCACCCAACAGGGACTGGCCCAAGCAAGGCCTGAAAGCCCGACACAAGCCTAAAGCACCTTCTGGCCGGGACCCATGGAAAAGGGTCGGCAGTGGCCAGACGAGTCTGGGAGGAAAAGAGCAACATCAAAATGAAAATAAACGCTGCCACAGTCACCTCCCCACGGGTCTCACCCACGTCTGTGTCACCCAGCCCAGGGCCAAGAAGCAAGAGCTGCTTCCTCACGTGACTCTGCCCCCAGTTGCCTCCCTCAGGTCCCCTTCTGGCTCCATCCTGCTTCCTTCCTCCTCAGTCCCCTCTCCAGATTCTTCTCCTCTCTGCTCAGCTCCACCCTCCTTCTAGGTGGGTCAGGGAACTTGGAACCTCCCCTTTTCCTGGGGACCCCTCCATTACAATAATAGTAATAATTAGTGGAAGCTAATAATTGAGGGCTTGTGAGCTCCTAAGCATTTTTTCTACATCAATTTATTTCATCCTTGCAGCAGGCCGCTAAGTCAGAGCTCTTCTTTATGCTTACGTTGTTGGGATGCAAAGAATTTCAGTCCCTTCCCAGGCACACCCAGATAGAGCCAGGAGTGACAGTGGATTTAAACTCTTGTACTGTAGGGTCAAATAGCAAGCTGGTTCAAAGACCAGGCACATCTCGCACCGTAAACTCAGGTTTTCTCCAGCTAAACAAGAGCTCATAGAGACATGTAAAAGTCGAAGGTAACACCCTCCACCTGAAAATGCAGGTTGTTGAAGGCTCAAGCATAGGACTCGTGCATTTCTCTCAGTAAGCCTCTGTTCCTCCACCTAGCTCCTAAATCTCCAACACTGACCGCGGTCTTGGGACACGATCATGATAAATTGCACTGTTCACTGGACTCCATCTTCCAAACGCATGCCAAGAGCACCGATTTCCTTGAAGCATTAGAGCTTTTCCCTGCCAGACTATGTGAGCTTCAATCAGGAACCAGTCACCTTCACCTGGATGCCAGAGACACATTAGATGCTCAGTAAATGCTAGTGACCTCAGATTAGAGTGCTATGGTGCACTTAACCTTGAAAGGAGCAAATGTAAATAAATAACAGCATATTTATTTGGCGGGGCGTAAGGGATTCTACCGAAAAACAGACCATCTTTCTATTCCAGAGTTGAGTTAAACTAACTTTTTAAAAGCCAGGAATACAAAGTCCTGGGTCATAGACCGTTTAGAGCATTTTTTATTATTGAAATAAATAGCAGGCCCTCCCTGGTGGTGCAGTGGGAAAAAGACAGCACGAAGCTAGCTGCAGCCACGTCAGCGCCAGTTCAATCCCCGCCAGGGAGTGACCCACAGGGCACAACAGACCTCTCCTGTCTCCCCGCTGCCGCCCAACAGTGTGTTTCAGTAGATCTGCCTGTTCTGCTGCTCCCCACTCTGTCTCTGGTGGATCCTCTCGCTATCCCTGCCTCTGGCCTGTACCCCGGTTCTGTATGCATAAATAAATACATCCTAAAGGAAAAAGTAGCAAAAAAGACAGAGAAGTGAATAAAAGATTCAGAGCATGATGACGTTTTATAAAGTGAACACTTATACCACTCAGGTCGAGAGAAAGAGAGAGAGAGAGAGAGAGGACTTTGCAAATCTTGAAAAAAACCCCTGTGCTCTCTCCTAGATACAACACTCCTCTCTCAAAGGTGGGGGCTGCTGACCCGACTTAAAGGAAGAATCCCTACCTTTCTTTAGCATTCACCGTAAATGAACATGTTCTCATGTATATATTTATATACATATATAGACTTATACACACACACACACACACACATATGTATGTATCCTATTATATATATATTTAGTCAGGTCTCAATGGTTTATGGCACTATATATGATTCAGATGTGCGTCAGCACCCCAAGCCCACCCCCAGGCACCGTCATGCACCAGAATCCGTTGCCCCTCCCCCCGCCAGCTGCTCTCCGCTGTCCTCTCCACTGCCAGCCTCATTTACCAGTGAGACTTCTGGAGGGTGCAGAAGACAGAGACAAAAAGCACAATGTCGGACAGGGCCGGCCCACAACCTGTCTGAATGCTTCCATTTTGCCCAAGTTTTGAACTTTCCAGAATGGATCTGTACAACATGTACTCTTTGTATCTGGCTTACGTCACTCAACATCATGGCTTTGAGGATGATCCACATGTTAGAACACAATTGTTTATGGGGCGTGGTGTCCCCTGACGGGGCCACAATGTGGTCATCCATTCCTGCCGCTGCCCAACATTGAGTTCCCTTTGGTTACCTATTATGAATAATGTTGTTATAGACATTGTCGGTCCTGGCTCCCAGAACACACTGTATAGAAAGTCTCTAAGTCACATGTGTTGGAATAGAGTTCCTGGGTCCAGAGTATCCCTGTCTCCAAATCTGTCTTCCCAAGTGGCTGTGCATTGCTTGTAAGAGCGGAGTGACAGAAACCCACGGGCATATGTCCACATGTGTCATGCAAAAAGAAGCCACTTCAATGTAATTGGATTTTTTTTTCTCCTCTTGTAGAGGAATTCAAAAGTTTTGCCCTAAAGCATCCAGAATATGCCAAGATATTTACAACATACCTGGACCTCCAGACCTGCCACGTGTTTTCCTTACCCGGAGAAGGGCAGCCGCCTCCCTCCATCGCCAGTAACCAAGTCAGCCCTGAACACCTGGGAGAGAGCCCGTCCGACAAAAAGGATGACTGAGTGTAACTCTTCCCAGGCAGAAAGCCAGCGGCTCTTCCTTGGGATGGCAAAGGCACTCACTGCTAGTGTTCTGAACGCGATGGGACAATACAGACGATTGTCCATAGTGTTTTAAATGTGATGTTAGTAGTGAAGATGTTTAAAAGGGGAAACTTTTTTATAAAAATACTAGATTTTTCTTACTGAAGTGCTTTCACTCACATGTGTACATCAAGCAATATTTCTTTTATGTTACCCTAGATGGATTGATTTACAAGTAAGTATGCTTTTGTGGATTTTCTAGCTTAATTTGCATAGGCAGGTAAATGAACTGGTCTCACTTCCCTAGTGAGCATTAATGATTGACTAATGAACATTAATCAACTTTGTAAAAGCTATAAAGAGGCTTTTTAAAATCAATTTCCCCTAAAGAAGTAATAGTCTGTTTTCTCTAGTTCCTTCCCAGTCTGGAAATGAGAATGAAGCTAATAAGATACTTTTAACTTCACGAGTTCGTCTTTCCCATTTCCATTTCAGCTTCTAGGATTACTGAATTTGAGTGGCTTACAAGGGAAAGCACTATTAATTAGATGACACTTCTTAAAATAGTCTTTTCTTTAGCGTGCATCTCTGTTACAGACTCCTTAATCACATGCCAAAGAATTCCTACCCTTTTACATGATCTACAGGTTTAGATCTTTGTTGTAAAGCAGCTACTATCCCAGAGGCGAAGTGGGAACTGCCTAACTGAAGGCAGCATTGAGCTCCTACTGAGGAAAGAAAATTGTTTGGCCAGGTATGGCTTCATTTGAGTGAGAGTTCAGAATGTAGCAGTTGCTCACTAAGTGAATCAAATTTGCTCTATTTCTGTAATACTAGAATTAATCTATATGCTCATTCACAGAGGAGTTTTATTTTGTTAAGTGTCCTCTCAATGTTCAGAGCTTGCCTGAAGTATATACAGGGAAAAGAGTCCAAACTATCACCAAAAGTTAAGGAACCCCAAAACCCACCTTTTTTTTTTTTCAAAACCCACCTTTTTAATGGATGGCCACAGTTTAGTCTCCAGGCAGGAACCTTGCAGGGACATATTTCCTTTAGTTGAGCAATGATTTTCCTCAAGTGCTATTTCATCAGATGTCAAATATACATACATATCATTACCATTTCTATTTGAAATTTTGAACAACGAACCATTGTATTAAATGTACTGTACAAAAAAGAGTTGGTTCCCATTCTGAGTTCAGTCTTTGAACTCGGTCTGTTTGGGCTGTGCTCCTAAATCTTTTGGCAATGTCACCTTCAAACTAGTTTTTCCAGGCCATTCTGAACTTGAGAAGCTCCATGAGAGGTGTTAGAGTTTATATTGAACCAAGAGTCATGATTTCAAATTAGTTTTACATAGTAAGCAGTAGTAATCCAATTTAATAAATAAATATTAAATCTGCATTGCTTATTAAAACATTTTAGCCTTAAGGATCTATGATTGTTATATCTTAAAGCTTTAGACAAAGGATTGAATAAGCTGAAAACAATTATGTAGGTAATTAAGAAAGTACACTTTTGTAATAATGTCCATGATATGCAGTTGAATGTATGTAATACTCAGATACTGTGATTTTTTTTACAGAAAAGCAATACATCCATTATGAACAAATCACATTGTAAATTAAAGGCATTCTCTGAAAGTTATTCTGTTGTTTTCCTGTTCTAAAATGGTGTTGTATGCTCTTTCATGCTACTTCTGCCAATGTATCTTCTTATTTTATTATATTACTGAATAAATAAACTTACATAAAACTCTTGGCAATTAAAAAATTCTGATTTTGCCATTTTGTCTCAAATGTAATATACCTTTTTAATATCATGGTTTGACTATAAGTTTGCATATGTATGAATGTGATTAATCATTTTTGTTTGCATTGAGGCTTTATGAAATGTCAGACACGATTTTACTCTAATGAAAAACTCAAATTTTAGCCAAAGTAGCCGTAGTTAGTATTCCTAAAGAAACCAACTTTTGACTGGTAGGGTGTTCACAGCCGCGGGCACCTATCATCATTGTTATGAGAGAGCAGGCTTCTACTTTATGCCACTGTAACAATGACAGCCCTCAGAGACGCCATCTATCCTTTGAGTATTCAAAGCAAGAATTAAATTGCATTAAATCAGCTAAACCCACAGTTGTTCTAGATAATGGTTTTTTTAAAGCATTACTCTTTGAAATGACAAAAGCTAGCTCCAAAGGTCTATAAAGCATAAAAATTTCAATCAGCGCAGGTCTGTGGAAGGACCATGGCAGACTGAAGGCTTGCATGACAGACCAAGTCGCTTGCATTGCACAGATCTAATTCTCAGCTTGTCGTTGCAACTGGATGTTAGAAGAGACCGCCTCCCTTTTACAAGACTCATGGTCTGCTCTGCCAAAGGCCCACCGTCCAGAGTCCAGAGCTCTGATTTCCAGACTCAGAAACTAACTCTTCCCTGCCGCTGGTTACAGATGCGAGGGCTGGATGGACACACTTAACTGCTGCTTTGTTCAAGACGGGGATGTGGACGGTAGCTGGACACACAGCTCCCTCTGCAAAGTGCCTGGGTTGCTTTTATACAGCAGTCACTAAAGAGTCTCAAAAGACCCCCAGATGCAGCCATTGCCTAGAGAAGCAAGAGCATTTATAATCTTTTTTGTGTGTTCTGTTCACTTGGGTTAATGTTGCCATTTTTGTGTTAAATTGTCATAACAGATCATGAAATAGGCGGAATCTTGTGACTTGATAAAGGTGAAGGGCCTCATGAAGTTTCTGATGGATACTGGTGACATTTATGGAAAATAGAGTAATAACCTGTAGGCCTTTTTACTCTTTTTAAACTCCGCGCTAGTTTTTGGACGATCATTCTCTCCCAACAAGCTTTTCAGATGTCTGTGGAAAACATGTGGTAACAAATTGTCTCCTCTGCATACAATGTTTTTTTCTAATTGGATGTCCTTTCCTTAATCCCATAAAAGAATCTATGCCCATTAGAAAAGATAAAGAGTAAAATAGTAACCAGAAATGAATCATGTTTACTTCCACCACACAAATCAACAACTTCCTGGCCATTTTATTTGACCCTTTTTTCTAGGTATTCTTTGTGTTTTTCAAAAGACTTATTTATTTATTCATACAAAAGCTGGGGTGCAAGCCAGAGGTGCAGCGGGGTGGGGGTGAGAGGATTCACCAGAGACAGAGTTGGGGACAAAACATGTAGATCTGCTGAAATACGCTGCTGAAGGGAGAAGCAGGGAGACAGGAGAGGTCTGCTGCACCATGTGGGTCAGCTCCCTGGTCAGGGATCAAACTCGTGCTACAGTGTCTGTGGATAGCTTTATAGTGCTGAGACTCAATCCTTTGCACCACCAGGGAGACCCCCCTAGATATTTTTACATTTTCAAGTGTGTCTATGGTGTTTTATATTCTACTGTTTAATTTGCAATATAACATTTGCTAGTGTCATTCAAATTCTCTGTTAATGTAACTTTTTAAGTGTCCCTAATATTCCTATAGATAGCTAGAATACAATATGTGTAGTCTTTCCTCTACTTAGCATTTTTCACTCTGGAACTATTATAAAAATAGCCATAATAGTTCATAATTATGAATAATTTGCCATGGTACTTATTTCTACTTTCTGAATCCAAAATAAAAAAAAATCACTAAGGGTTTTATAATTATTGAAATTTGTATTAAACTGATTTTATTATGGGAAAAGTTTTGAAATTATCCTCTTAAATTACATAGCATAATAATTTTAACTTTACTTACCAGTGGCCCTCAACTTTTAAAAAATAGTTTCTCTCTGGCCCTCCCTGGTGGCGCAGCGGGTTAAAGCACAGCACTGAGAAGCTAAAGCCACCTCCGCATGAGTTTGATTCCCGCCTGCCCCCAGAGGTGACCACATGGCGTGGCAGACCTCTCCTGACCTGCCCACTGCTCCCCTCAGCAGTGTACTTCATAGATCTGCCTGTTCTGCCCCCCACTCTGTCTCTGGTTAGGCCTCTCACCACCTCTGAGCCTCTGGCCTATACCCCAGTTCTGTCTGTACAAATAAATAAATCTTAAAAAAAATAAAAAAAAAATAGTTTCTCTTTGAAAAGTAACAGGTTTACTAATTGTTATAAGTAACAATTATAGTAACTAACCAGTATAAAGTGCTTCCTGTGTGTCAGGCATTGTGCTAAGTGACTCTCATGTCCTTAACTTAGGCGAACTTATTTATGCATTTACTGTTGTTCCTAGTATTTAGAAGTTATGCCTGACATATAGTAAGTACTTGATATTAGATGCCTGAATGGATAATGACTCATCATCTGTTTGTCCGCTGTAATGTACTAAAATAGAGATAATCTTTACCACAAGCTAGAAAACCTGGGTCTATGATCCCTAAAGCTCGTTTAGAAAGTGAGGTTCAGAGAGGTTCCCCTGCTTGCTCAGGGTTACATAAGTGGTAAGTGCCGGGGCTGGAATTCAAAGCCAAGGCTATCTGGCTCTAAGTGAGAGAACTTCTGATTCAGCCACAGTAACTTGAGCTCGTGAAATAACTACAGAATTATACGACAGGCTGCAAGTTCCAGAAACATGGAAACTAGATCATCTGAGAACCAGAACCCACTGGCCACAAACCCCTTAGAACGCTGAACAAAATATCCCCAACATGTGGAATGTGTAGCCAGACATATAAGAATCTAAGGGAATTCCTCAAAGGCCAAAAAGAAACCAGGACAGAGTGAAAGCATCAGCTGATGTTGGCCCGTGGACAGTTAACAGCCCCAGGATCCAAGAGATGTGGGATTTCGTAGCTGTGAGAGACAAAAGCAAAAGGCTTTATACCATGTGGGATTGGGATGAAGACCTCAGTGGTCATTTGCAGGATTATACTCTCTGAAAGAATGAGCTAAAACAATTCATCTAGCAAAGGAAAACAATGAGGCAATTTTTTCAGTCTTAGCCTGGGTTCTAGTTGGTGGGGAAAGTCTTCTGATAATTCTTTTCATCTCATTCATTTTAAATATTATGCTCGGTGACCATCCTAGCTACATTTAGCTGTGTATTCGGCAGTTGGCTGTCATGTCCTATTAACCTTAAATTAGACCCAGTTATTTGGCAGTGCTCTGTAAACTCTATATACTTACCGATTTTTTTTATCAAATTGTGCTATTATTGAAGAGATATTGATATCTCCTACTATACGTGGGATTCGATCAACTATGCATTGTCTGTTGCGCTGCTATTCAGTTCATAATCACGTATTACTGTTAATTACTATTACCATCTTGAGTGAGTGAATTGACCCTTTTATCATCATGAATATCCCTTCTTAATTTGAAAATGTTCCTTGTCCTGTTATTAACAGCATTCTAACCACACCAACTTTCTGATAAGTATTTGCATGGTTTATCTTTTTTCCAGCCTTTTTTCTTTTAAGCGATCAGTAGCTTTATATTTAATAGGCTTCTCTTAACTGTGCACTTTCTGGGCTTGCCCTCAATGTTTGTTTTTTTTTAAGATCTATTTATGCATACAAGAACTGGGGTTCAGGCCAGAGGTGCAGGGAGTGGGGTGAAAAGATTCACCAGAGACAGAGCGGGGAGCAGAACAAGCAGATCACAGAAATCCACTGCTGAGAGGAGCAGTGAGCGGGTCAGGAGAGGTCTGCGGAGCCCTGTGGGTCAGCTCCCTGGACGGGGATCCAATTCATGCTGCAGTGGTTGCTGACAGCTTCATAGTGCGGCTCTTTAACCCATTATGCCAGCGGGGTAGGTCCTTGCCGTTACTTTCAAGTCTCTCCAGCTTGCCTAATACTTTTTTTTTTTTTCAAATAGCTCATATATTTATTCCATGTCCACAAACAGTGACGTTTTCAGTGAGATGGCCAATACTGCTGATATCAATACAGCATAAATCGCCCGGCCTCTCAGTGCGATGTCTTACTGACCCTGGTGGTTCTTCTCCATTGTCTCCTCATGCAAGGAATTGTACCAGATTTTACTACCAGTTTTCTTCTGAATCCTCTGGGGAATGGGATGGTTTTGGTTTTGTTTCTTGGCTAGGAATCACTTGATCCTGAACGTCTTGTGAGAAGACATGACAGGGAAGAGGCAATGGCCCTGAATGCGATGGTAGAGGGAAGGGGCAGAGACACTTTGATGTAATTTGCACACGAGCCGTCTTGCGTTTAATGGAATTACTGTGTGAGAAGGTTTGCGTCTGTGATTTTCCTTGTAACTTTCTGTTTGCTCCATCCGTTCTTTCGTCTTCTCCATAAGAAGTTGCTAACTTCTTTTGGAATAATCAACATCTTTCAGTATGTTTTATTTTCTTTTGGCTGGTTAGTTATATGTGATTATGTATAATGGTTGCTCCAGAATTTACAACATCCATCTTTTACTTACAATAGTCTACGTTCAGATAATAGTATGTTTCCCCCCAATAACAAAGGAACTTTCAAATAATACACTCCACTGAACCCCATTATTTGTGCTATTGTAATATACCCCTCATGTGTTTAAAATCCCTCAGGACACTGCTATCATTTTTGTTCTAAACATCAATTAGAAGTGTGAAGGGGATAAAAGGCCATTTATCTACACATTTACTGTTTCTGGCACTTTTTTTATTTCTCTAATTCTACTGCCCTATCATTTTCTACAGCATGAAGAAATTAATTCAGTAATTTTTTTTAATATTTTATTTTTAGGGTCTCCCTGGTGGCACAGGGGTTAAGTCTCAGCACTACAAAGCTATCCACAGCTACTAT